CTATAGAATGATGTACCTCGCCCTCTACCAGGCTGAGTGTTTGGGAAGAAGGTAGGGTGATGAGGATGCTGCCATATCCCTGGTTTCTCCATATTTTCATTCACTTCTCTTTTACACCTTGCACACAGGACGTCTTCATCCTTTTTTGGTTCTTTCCCCTTGATTCGTTCAAAAACACTGGGATGTGGTCTAGGATCCTCTTCTCCATCATCTACGATCAACTTGAATTTTGGCAACTTGTTTTTGAAACCAGACGTCACCATGTTCACTCCAAGTGGCTGTGGAAAAGGATTTTCATCCACTGCCATCTTCTTCTTATCGTCGAATGTAATTCGTCCTGATTCAATGGCATCCTGCAATACATGGCGAAAAATCAAGCAATTGTTAGTCAAATGTGACTATGCATTATGCCACTTACAATATTTTTTACCCTTAATTTGTTCAGGGTTTGGCAATTTATGCTTATCGCTCAACTTTATCTGCTTATCCCTATATAATTTATCAAATATAAAGTCAGCTTTGGTTACATCGAACGAGAACGTTCTAGCGTTTATGTTTCCATCTTTTATGGGCTCATCTTTGCCCGATGGTCTAGGTTTGGCCATTATGGAACAAGTATACGTATCTCCTTTGACCAATTCGGCCAAACACATTTCGGCCCGATCGTATGACTCGTCACTGATGGTATGAACGTCAAAATTTGGGTCTTTCTAATAAGTCGCTTTACTAGAATTTTTCATTTGTTCTTCCTCTCTTATCAGTCATTCATCTCTAATCACATTCGCACTCAACTGGAAAAGGTCAGAAGATTCTTTGTCCTGAAATTTCTTTTTTAAATCAAAGCTCAAGCAGCCCTGAGCGATTTTGACAAATTCTTTTTCGGGCAGAGGTACAAAACACTTGCTTTTTGCTGTCTTGAACCTTTGGAGAAAACTTTCTGCCCATTCGTTTAGCATTTGACGTAGATTCGCCAAATCAGCCAATGTGACTTCAGACTCAATTTTATAAAACTGAGCGTGAAATAGCTGTTCCAATTGTTGTCATGTTTGAACAGAGTTCGCTGGCAAGTTGATGAACCAGGAGAAAGCTACTCCTGTTAACGAACTAGGGAAAAGCCTCATTTTATGGTAATCGGTTATATCACCACTTTGCAATGTGAATCACCCTATGTGTTCTAGAGTGGACACCTCTCCTAAACCAGTAAACAGTAAGAATTCTGGCACTTTGTACCCTCTAGGCCATGGGTATGCTTGGTCTACCCGATCAGGATATGGTTTTGTGTACGTCGGTCTAATGACGGGACGCACCCCAAAAGCCATCTGATACTGTACGATTTCCATAATCTGGTTCCTCAACATGACGTTGGGAACATATGAAATTCCTACAAGCTGATTAACCAGTTGATTTGCATGAGGCCTGATATTTGGTCCTTGATTAGCAACAAAATTACCATAATTAGAGCCATTACCATTAGCCTGAACATCTGTTCCCTCATTAACACGTGGGGTGTGCTGTCCATTGTTTAGGACATTATCTCTTATGTTTGGATTACCCCCCAAGTTAGGCATACTACTACCATTGTTCTGATTTGGCACTGTAGTACCCCCTTGGTTTGAAGTAGAGGGACCAGAAAGCGGTTCTACCCCTTGATTCGGATTTAGGACCGAGGGATTATGTCCCACAATTGTCCTAGTTTGAAAGTGATTTGTAAGAGGTATAGCCGGTTGACATATTTGGCCTACTAACTTATTCATTGTTTCGTTCGACGTCTTTAGTTGCTTGGCCATGTTGTCATAGTGTACATTTCCATTTTGTGTAAATTTTTCCATATTATGAATACTTCGAAGATTTACCTGTTCAACGACGTCTTGCGTGAGTTCTCCAAGTAATGCACACATGGTTCGAGGACTCAACTCCGTCATTGGTTCGTAACGACTGTTACTGCTCTGGTTCTGTCCATCTGCTCGTGGAGAGGCATGCTGCTCCTCATATCGTTCGATCACAGACTGGATTCCTCCCTGACTTGCTGCTTCCTTATCGGATCTCTGAGACATATTGTTTCACCTTTTGTACTTTCAACACCTAACACCACTGTCCCACTGGGCGTGCCAAATTGTTTCGCGCGGGTTAGTCGCTAACAATTAAAAAGGATCAGACGATTGTGTAATGGACAAACCTCTTGAGACAAAATCCCAAAAAGGGGTGTTCTTTTATTGGCGATGACTTTACAATTGGAAATTAAAAACAACGTGCCTCCAAGGGGCGCAAGCACACGAGTTACTGAAAGAAAAGTGTTTAAATCTAAGCTAAGGAAATGAAAATTACATATTCTCTGTTCGAGAGTTTTTGATTCGGTCTTTTGTTTCTGTCTTTTCTCCCTTTTATACTTCATGGACGATCTCTTTGTGATCAACCGTCCTAAAAACTACTTGATCGTCCTATAACTGCCCACTTTCTTCATAATGGCCAACTTGTCATGAAAACTGCCTTTTTTAACTGCTACAATTATTCTTCATCGTTCAACCGCTTTCGATTGAATTCCTTGAATCGTGGAACATGATAGGGCTGCTTTAATAACTGATTTGATAACTGTACTTCTTGATAACCACGACGCTCTATGTTTGTTAAGACCTTGGGTGACTTGAAGGTTTGGGCGAGAATAGAGTAACAGCTCTGGACGACTGTATGACACTCCATTCGCTCAGATTCTGGGCGACTTGCAAACTTGGGCGATGGCGTTACCGCGTTCTTGGGCCTCCTTATTTGGGCCTTCATCTTGATTTGTTCGATTGGGCTTCGTTCTTTGGGCTATCTGATTTGGGGATCTTCCAATTGGACTTCACTTTTTGAGCTGTTCGATTTGGGCTTAATTTTTATGTGTCAACAGAAATGAAATGAACATATAATATTAATAAATTTCTGTCTTAATTTCGTGTTAAAATCCATTAAATTTCAAAATGGATGTTTTCAAATAAATTACCTTTTCGTGAGCTATTAACGAAAAAATTATTTCCTTGGCAGTTGGTAGTTAGCCCCTGTTTGGCCCCCATTACGGGGAAAATTTAATGTATAGAATAGTGTTTTTTGAAAAATGAGTGGTTGAAAAAGAAAGAAAAATTTTCGATTTACGTGTAATATTATTTTATAGAAGATTGTTTGATTGAAAATAAGAGAGAGAAAAATAGAATGTACTGTAATGAAAATCAAACAAGGGCTTAGTGATTGCAAAAAGATATGTCTAGAATTGTGCTTAGTTTAATGTTTAAAATATGAGGAAATTTGGACAACTTTCCACGTTGAATTTCGTTGTGGCATTGCCGTCTTCATATAATCGCCGTCCCTACACTCTGTGTGGGCCTTTAATCCACTATATCTCAGCCCAATGTCGTGAATTTAAATTGCCACGTTGCACTGCAGTCTACGTACTTTTCTTCTGAAGACATCAAAGGTAGAAGTTCTCAACTTTAAAAAAGTAGTTCTGATTCTCAATGTATTTAAGTTCAGTTAGGCTATATGTAAAATCTTATTTGTACAATTATGGATAATAATTTTTGTTGGCATCATCATATTTATCCATTTTTTAAATTGTCAAAAACTGTTTTTTCAAATCATTGGTCCGAATTTCGCCGTCTCAGACATTGTCAACAATGTTTATCAACTAACATTGTATAAATAGTTTAATTCATTTAAGTTTGCATATTTGAGTTTTTTTGTTAATGTAATTGACTCTAAAATTTCATGTATCTTTTCTAGTTGTATTGGAGAAAAATGTTAATCGGTTGTCAATATAAATGTTCACAGAAAAGTCATGTGTAATTTTATTATCTATATTGACAATTTCGATCACTTGAGAATCCATATTCACATATAGCCTTCGTTTGTTTTTCATTATTTCTCCACTAAAATAAAAAATATGATCATTATTTATCACATCAACCACTAAATTTGAATTTCTATCTTTTGTGTGGGGTCCATAACAACTACATTTTTCATTCGCATTCTTATAAAAATGAGAAACAAACGGGGCTATAATAAGTTGGGAGATTCAAAATCTTACTTTTGAAGATTGAGGACTAATAAGCACATCATGTGAAAAGTTGGTTGCACGCCTAATTTTTTTCTTAAATGAGAGCCGGTAATAATAATAATAATAATAATAATAATAATAACAGTAAATTAATTAAATAAATTTGGATGAAATGACCAGTTTTCGATTTTCAGGATAGAACAGTTTGACTGATTGATCATACTTTTTATAAAATTGGTGGAAAAAAAAAGAGAGGAATACTACTTATTGTAACAGAACATGTTAAGAATAGTAATGTGGACACTATTTTAAGTTGGAGGGCAAATTCATATTAGATTTAGCCTATGTTTGGTGGAAATTAAAATCAGGTCTTTAATAAATATTGATAATAATTGTTGAAATATGTGGTTAAAATGTTATGGGTCCAATAAAGTGTGGTTAAAATTAGTTGTTGACTTTGACTTACGCCCCGTTTGTTTCCTTTTTGTGAGAATGAGAATGAAAATGAAAATAAAAAAATATAGTCATTACGGGTTCCACATAAGAGATAAAAATTCAAACTTGGTGATTTGATGTGATAGATAACGGTCATATTTTTCATTTTAATGGAAAAAGAATGAAAAACAAACAAGAGCTTAAATTAAAATTTTAATTTTAATATGTATCAAAAAGGGGCTTACTATGCTCACTTCACAAATGTTAGCCCTTATTTGGCCCCCTTAAATTGAATTTCATTTTTCCCTCTCTTCTTATCAATCACGTATTTTAATATGCTCACTAGACAAATGTTAGCCCTTGTTTGGCCAGAACTCAACATTTTAAATTTTAGTGAGCAATCGAAAATATGGATCTAAGTTTAGTGACTTAAACTTGATGTTTTAAATTTCAGTAATTAATAAAAAATATTGACCTAAGTTCAGTAACTATTGGAATAATTAATTCAATAGACATGTTATTTAAAAGTAGAAAGTCTCCCTCAGTGGTTAGTACTAATTTATTACCTCTATCCCATTCCTGCAACCCTCGTTTAGATCGCCCTCTGCTCCTCCCCATTTTACATTTTCCACGGCCACCTTGGCCGCCTTCGAATCAAAATGACTAGCTACGGCACCATCCCCACCTCCTCCTCGCCGGCCGGAAATCCAGTGAACCTCGAGTACATCTCACGCGCCAAGGAGCGCATTAAGGCTGGCCTAGGCACGCGCCGCCCCTGGCGTGAGATGTTCAATTTCCGCTGCTTCAACCTCCCGTCCACGTCCGGCGCCTTCTCTCGGATCAAAACGAACTTAGCATTCTTCCGAATGAACTACGTAATCATTGTTCTCTTGATTTTGTTCCTGAGTCTCCTCTGGCACCCGATTTCGCTTATCGTATTCATTGTAATGATGGCGATATGGCTTTTCCTCTACTTCCTCCGTGACGAACCACTGATGATATTCGGCTGGCTAATTACCGACTGTGTGGTACTTATTGTTTTGTCGGTGGTTACGATCGTTGTTCTGCTGCTGACTCACGCCACCACTAATATTTTGGTGTCGCTGTTGGTTGGAGTGGTAGTGGTTCTGATTCACGCCGTCGTGAGGAAGACGGATGATTTGTATGTCGATGAGGAGGCTGCCGGCGGTTTGTTGACGTCTCCGCCCGGTGATTCTTCTTCGTGAAATTGAAACTGTTCTCCCTTTTTCTTTTTCTTTTTCTTTTTCTTTTTCTTTTTCTTTTTTCGTTCTTTTTTTGGGTTTTTCCACTTAAGCGTTGTTGAATTATTTTGTACTTTTTTCAGTATTTGGTCTAAAATGATTGTTCGTCGTGGTTGACCTCGGTATTTCTGTAATTTGATGTACGTGTGAGTAATAATTCAATTATCTTTACATTGTTAGGGCATTTCCAAGAAGTAATCGATACACTTTATATTTAACATTAAATTTTATTGTTCTCAAAAAATTAATTTTTTTCTACTTTTTAAATTCATTAACTTTATTCTAAATTATTATATTATTTTTCTTCATTAAAAATTAAAATACTTTTAATGTATTTAATTATAGAAAGTGTGGTAAATCCCTTCTTTATTTTAAATTGTTAATTTAAAGAACTTTTAGAAACATTATTTTTTGAAGGGTTTATTTGTTTTGGAAATTAAGCTCCCGTTTGATCTACATTAAATTCAATTACATTACATTCCATTTTTTTTTATTTTCATCTACACAATCTTTCATAAAATAATATTACACGTAAATCGAAAATTTTTCCTTCTTTTTTAACAATTTATTTTTCTAAAAAATATTATTTTCCTCATTTTCATTTTCAAATAATGGGGTCAAACGGTTCGTAAAATCTATCCTGTGACATTCTTTCATAAAAAGGGCAACAGACTATCGACAACATTAATCATAGGCATTGACTTTGAAGCATGGATGGCCTTTTTCCTTGTGGTAAGGTACTTTATTTATAGTTATGATTTTACGTATTGACAATTCTTCAATATCTTATTCATTCGCAACAAAATATTTTCTCTATGCATCGGTAAAAATAAAAAAATAAAAACGCTTTTGAAGGTTTAAAATAGAGAGTATCATATGTTTAAAGAACATTTGAAAATGCTCTTATAACAAGAAATATTTCTTCTCTTTTGGAATTTGACTAGAAATAAATGAATTAGCAAATGAGTTACATCTAGACATCATCTCTTTGGAAGTAAGGCTTATGCACATTTTCTCATATTACATTACACCATACATTATACATTAATATTTTCTCATTTCTATTAAGAAGAGATAATGTGATAAGATATTAAAAATGTGTTGATTCAATAAAATAAAATAAAAAGGAAGAGATAATTGCAGCAGAAGTCTCAAATCTATTAAAGACTAACAAACTTTTTTCTAATCTTTCATTTGTTGTAGTCCTCACCCCAAATCTTTTTAAAATGTTGCATTTGATGCCCCTTTTGGATGGAATCCATCCAATTTACCTTTAATTGACCTAAAAAGTGATTTTGACCATATTTTAACTATTTCTATAAGGACAAAATGGTAAAGTTGATATATTTCCATATAAATATAATAAAAAATAGAAAAAGGAAAGGAAAGGAAAAAAGGCCAAATGAGAAAAGTCAAACCAGATTCATCGCCAATCAATAGCCAGTTGCCAAAAATACCGCACACCGGTGATATCACACCCATAACACACACTAATAAACAACTAAGCCAACCATTTTGGAGGAAGAAAATTATCAAAAATAGCCTTGATTTTCAATCCCTTCACAAATCAAGAACACCGCTTCCGACGACATCCGTTACCGTTGACCACCACCATTCATCTCACCCCATCTAGGCATACAATCTGATGGTACAACGTCACCAAAATAGGCCCATAATATTACTGCAATTTCTAGAAAAACGTACCAAGTTTGCAAAATCCCCACAAGCAGTCGTGCCTCCTCCAATTGATAGGTCTCTCACTATTTTTCCATCCAATTGCGAGCAGTCAAATGCTCGGTACTTTATACGACCTTGGGTATACAATCAATTGAACCAATTTAGCTTTTAATTATTGTGTTCATTACTGTATGGTGAAGAAAAGCAAGACATTCTGAGTTTGTGAGTCGTGATGAATCCATGAACTATCCAAAACTCGATGTTTAGCACTGTCATTATTGATGTCACCAACAATGGCTGCTTTCACTCTTCTCTTCCTTCTTGAAATGAACCCCACAAGCATTGCAAAGTGACTGCCAAATTCTTAGCTATTATATTTATCTGAAAATATATCAAGTCTACCATTTTGTCTTTATGGAAATAGTTAAAATATGGTCAAAATTACTTTTTTAGGTCAACTAACGATAAATTTGACTGATTCCATCCAAAATGGCATCAGATACAGCGTTTTGAAAGATTTGAGGTGACGGCTGCAACAAATAAAAAGTTAAAAGAGATTCTGCTAATGTTAAAATGTTTGAACTTCTGTTGCAATTATCCCTAAATAATAATAAAATCATGACAATCGATGTCAACTCAACTAGATATTGAAATTCTATATTTTGTCCGGTCTCTTTATCTTGGTGATATCTAATCATGCTAAGCTGGGGTTTTACAGATAGGGTATATTTATATCCTATGCACACAGTCTTCATGTCACTCGGTGGTTACGATCAATGTCAAAGCCCATAAAATAACACACGTCCAAGAATACCCACAGGCCATTATTACGTGTATACATTTTTATGGTGATAAATGTGAATAAGATCGTCTCATTCCACAACGAATATATTCCATTCCTTAATTATGAAGATAATGTTATTAAAAGCTACCCAACAAAGATCAAATAATTTATTATTTGAATAATGGTACAAATACAGAATTTTTTGATAGAAAAATTTTACAGACGCGACATCATTAGAAGATGGGAAAAAAAGAAAAAAAATAGTCCAATCATATTTTGCCACATCACAATATCGGTACAAATTCTGTTAAAATTTTCCTGTGCTCATGACTTTATTATTTCCCTAGTGATGCTTCTAAGTAATTCTAGTCCCTAGAATGGAAGGTGGGGCTAAGTCTCTCGTTCCCAGTTCAATGTGAGAATTAGTAGATTGAGCAAAATGATTATAGAGAGAATTAAGCTACTTGTACAGAAATATTTTGACAGATACTGAGATAGTATGCACATCAACCTTTAATTTGAATTTATGAGGTTCAAATCAAGGGATAAAATGTATGCCACCTCAACATATGTTAAAAAAATTGTACAAGCAGCAGGGTTGTTTCAAAGAAGCCGGGGTCATTATACATACATCTTACCAAAACATCAATGAGATTTGGAGGGACACATCATTAGACGCTTCTCAACATTTCTTGCATGAGTTATTGATTATCCGCTGACCTAACCTCACATGGGATGTCATAAAATCCATTACTAATATTAGAGGACATATGCCGAAATACGTTGAGAGCGATGTTTCTAATGAGGTGACTACGTTACGTCGGGCTTGACCATGCCCACCACCACAATTGCTCCCGTCTTGGGGTGCGGTTGGGTTCTTTGTAAATTGACGACGAATGATCAAGACTTGTGGCGTGACGAGCTTAACCCACCTGTTAGATGTGACAGGCTGAATGAGAGATTAAAACAACATTGCTAAGATTGCCCCTATCCATCAAACCAATAATATGAATACTAGTCATTGGGTATCAACCCCATTTCTGGTTGAATTACAGAATTTGAAGCAGCTAATACTATACAAGATACAAAATCTTAATGGCATTGGACAAAATGACCAGCACGCATACGACAACGGAAAATTGTGCATAAAGTTCATGTGCCAAGCCATTTACACATCGTCTTTACACGAAGTCCTGGCTTTCTCTTTCCGAGAAGTTTGGTCTAGTTCTGAGTGATAACTTAGTATTAAATCCTTCCAATGCCTCTATTAACATTGGACCACTATGTCGTTCGTGTTGCAGCTGGTAATCTGAACAGATCCTGCCACTCCGACTTCCCACGTCATACCCAGGTGTGGTCGTTCGACTTGAATCCCTAATGATGTCACCCTCAAGTATTCGAAGCACCTGGAGTGAAAACGAGAACAATTTTTTATTCCCAGAATATAGAAACGAACACAGTGCAACCTAAGTACCATCCCCCGGAATTAGGACACGTTCTCGTTATTATTTTTGAAACACAATAGGAATGAATATCCTTATTAATTTCTAGCATTAATGATTTTACAGCATTTGATATTATGTTACTTGATTTTTCTCAATCTTGATGATTTTCAGTGCATCAGTGAACTATATTTTTCTTACCCGAGACATGCGAGGCCTTGTCTGAGGATCCCCGCGTATACACAAAGACGCAGCATGTAACATGCAGTAGACCTCGCGCTCCGAATAACAGTTCCCGAGCTGTGGATCGACCAGCTCACGTATGGCGTATGCATCCAATAAAGGGCGTGCCTGTAACGTATCAAAAAATCACAAGTCAGACAGATTGAGCCCCTAGGCCAGACCATTTATAACCTCCTCTGGAGATTGTCAGGGTTAGCTTGAGCAAATTATGGCACTCGGTCGATGAGTTATACCCATTCGGTGAGACACTGCTGGCCCTTAGGCCTGCTAAGATCCACTGCTTTACGTCCAGTAACAAGTTCGACCAGTACCACACCAAAGGAGTAAACGTCTGCTTTTTCTGTGATCTGTCCGCTTTGAGCATATTCAGGAGCCAAGTACCTAAATGAAGCGTAATAGTTTAATTGAACTTGACAATTTTATTGTAGAGATCATAGTCTAGAACTGAGAAAACCAAGTAATAGAAGAATTACCCAAATGTTCCGATTACTCTTGTTTCAACTCCTGTTTCTCCATCAGGTTGCCATCTTGCTAAACCAAAGTCTCCCACCTTACAGAAAATGAATCGAGTGAGATTTATATTATCTTTCTATCGAGTGGAGAACCTTTGTAGCAGGAAGAGCTGAAAAGAATGGTGACCGAACCAACGTTGAGAAAGTAAAACAATTTAATTCACAGTATCAAACTATTGGACTATGTCAAGTAGATACACGTGCGGACACAATATAACTGTATAACCCCTTTGATTGCAAGAGAAAATCACCATTTATTCACACCTAATAATTAACAGAAAATAAACGGTTACTGTTTTGCCTACATCTACTAACTACAGAGAAGTATGGATAAAACATGAACAAATATAACATACATATCATATGATCATGTGTGCACATTTATATGTACAGGCAGATGCATATGAACAACCAGAGAAAGCAGTAACTCAAATAGATCAAATAGTGTCTAAATACGTCATATTTTCTACTTCAACAGTTTTGACTTTTCCAGGTAACAAACTTCTGAAAGATCAATGAGAAACCAAGAAAGCCCACTCTCAGAGACCTCAAAACGGTAAGCTACATCCACTGCGTGCTTCATAATATTTTCAACTGGAATGGCAATTTAAGAGATTTGCTGTACCAGGGGTTCAAAGTCATGGGTAATGAGGATGTTATTCGGCCGCATGTCTCGATGGACAATGCAACCTACTCTGCATTCCTCATGAAGATATCGTAGACCTCGTGCAGCTCCAAGTGCAATTTTTTGACGCGCAGACCACGCGAGTGGATCTTGATAACGTCCTGGAAATACCAGAACCATCAGTAAATAATGAAAACTAATCTTATACCAGGATAAATGAAATCAATCGAGCTCTGATGGTAAGCGAACACAAATGAAGTACCCATGATGGATAGATTCATAATATGCTCTACCTAATAGGTGTAGGTTCTCTAGAGTGTTTATGAAATGAGAAAAACAAACCATAAAGATGAGAATCCAGAGATCCGTTGCAAATATATTCATAAACCAGTAATCTTCTGCCATCTTCAATGCAGAAACCAATCAACATAACGACATTTCGGTGCTGAGCACAGCTGAGAACTTCAACCTCCGAGCAAAATTCTTGATCTCCTTGAGAACTGGCCAATTTGTGTTGCTTGACAGCAATGGCCTGACCATCTGGAAGGACTCCTCTATGGACAGAACCAAATCCACCTTCAGCTAAAAAGTTAGCTTGTGAAAACCCTCCAGTGGCAAGCTCCAGCTCGGCATATGTGAACCACCTTGGAGGCTTTCCGAATACCGGAGCCTTATGTTGACAAATCGAACACAAGGGAGGTGGTCCAGGTGGTGCTGTTCTAGAGAGCAAAATTGCCTCTCTCAAATTACCACTGAAATCCATATTAGACCTATAGCTTGGGGATGCAAACCCAGTTTCATCATCAAGTTTAGAAAGCTTTTCTAGCAAGGCCTTTGTTACAGAATTTTGAGTTCGATTGTTGCATCGTTCAGAGCTTTCTCCTAGCAAGGATTGAATGTGTGAACTGGTAAATTCTGCTACCCATGGTTGAAACCTTAAAAAACTCGAAGTGGAGGATAAGTTTTCACTCTCAGTGTCTGAACTGGACTTGTCAAGTTCTTGCTCTTTTTTCAAAGCTGATAATTCCTCTTTCTTTAGACTATCCTTCATTTCAGAAACGAAGAATGGCGATATTCCGGGATCAGAGCTTGAAACTGATGAAATTCCACCTTCAGTCACGGTGAATGTCTCGGGACTACTTGATGGTGTAACTAGTGGACCTTGAGTAGAATTCAAAGAAAAATTCTTATTATCTTGAATTTTGGATTTTTGATCTTTACCGGAGTCCATCGCTTCTTTTCCCTTTCTAGGTGATCCAACTAAATTTAGACGAAGAACCTTGGGTTGGGAACGCTTCATGACAACAACATTGCATTGAAGTTCTTCCATGCAACGCTTTTCCTCATGCTTGAGCTGTCTGCAAAATTTGAAGCAAAAAGCTGCATAAATACAGAGAAATTTTGAATAGATTCCGATAATACTTTAAAATGGCCTCAACAGAAGTGTAGATATTACTTGTCCAAAACAACCCAATTGGCTCGAGTTCTCGTTGCCTCTGCAGCCACTGCTCCACATGGAGACCCCGAAACAATTTTTATCTTCACGTTAATCTGAAAATTGCATAAACACAGATCAGCTGTATGGCACCATGCATAGCCCTATACAACAGAAACAAAACTACTGATATCTACTTTATTAGGATCATAAACATCATGGAGTTGAAGGATCATCTGGGAGCAAGTATCTGTTATATCATATTTCTGCTCTGCCTTCGTCCCATTCTGCGACTTTTTGTTGCCACTAGCACAGTCTCCAGTAAATCTTGGGAAGCCCCATAATTTTCTACCTGATTTAAGCACACCAGCTGTTAGTATGTTTATTAGTAAGTTGTATTGATGCTAATATTGACTTGAAATAAAAACAAAATAAATGTCAAAGAAATTAAAAAAAAAAATTTGTTTCATCTAACGGCTCATGCAATAAGCACTTTTTGCATGTAGAAATGGCATAATTCTGACGCATGATTACAACCATACTGGGATAGATGATAGTAGATTAGAGGAAATCAAATTGTCAATTCAGTTCAGCAGCAATAACCAAATTTCAATTATGGAGCTGCAGGATGGATATACTAGCTAGAACCCGCTAGTTGTACAATCAACCGAGAAAAGTGGTAATTCGCAGTAGCTGATTAGTAAAATTTAGTGGAAAGGAAAAGGCCATAATGTGTAGGCTTAGGAAAAAATCGAACTACAACCTTGAAGATTTGCTATCAAATGACCTGTCCACATCCGATACACCCAGGGACACAAGCTCATTTCCCAACTAAGTAAATATATTAATTGAGTATAGACCTAGTTATGGATAGAATATGCAGCTACAATAACGTGGATTCCAATGGAAATCCCGAAAATCTCAAACAATAATTATTCACAATCCGAGCAATAGAACATTATAATGACCCAAGATTCTCATTCCTCTTCAGTAAAGAGGAAAAGGACAACTTCTGTGATTATTATCCCCCATAAAGTTACATACACAAGGATTGATTCTGCACTCAGTGCAACGTCAAAATAGCCCAAGATTTCCAAAAGACCATGAACTTCCAAATGATAGAACTATTGTTAAGTAATGATGCCTATAGAAGCCCTGCCCCATTTTACTGGCACTCTTTGTGCCGGAATCAAATCGCCCACCATGGACACTTGTTCTCATTTCATTGTCTCACAGCTTACCCAAAAAATAAAAAAAATAATAACAATAAGAGGGGAATTTAAAGCCATAAAAGGGAAAGGGAAAAGCCCAGGTAAGAATCTAAAAGATTACCAGAACCGTGTGAAGAAACAACCACAAGAAGACTAATGCAGTCCCCAGGTTGAACAACATGAGTCAAAGCCCAAACAAGAGCAGTCTTGGGAATCTCCCTTGATGCCTTAACAGCCACCACAACTTTCTCAGCCACATCAGAACGCTTCTCCTTTTCCTCTTGCTTCAAATCTCTACTCATTATAGCAAAAGCAAAATTTTCCCCTTTCGAAAACTTCAAAAGAAAAACATTATTTCTTTAAAAAACACCCAACTCTGAAACAAATAAAGTGCATATGATTGAACCAACAGCAAGAAAACATTAAATGCATCATTGTGCCATCACTATCCCATCCACATGAGTTGTACTCTTGTTCAAATACAGCCCGCATGCTCACTGTTCAACCAACCATGACAAGACCTTAACCGAGAATCAATTTTTCCAAGAGACCAAGATTTTTGTTGCTGTAGTCCAAGTCAAAACGCTGAAATCAACAAGTACTGGGATTTAACCAGAGATAGCTATGCATGCAGATACCAGAAATTGACCACAATGAAGCCCCTTAAAATGGATCTGCAGAGACTTCTTTTCACTCACAATGATGCACTGTTGGGCATATGATCTCTGTACAACACAAACGACAGAATTTTTTCTTCCCTTTAATGGATCTGCTTTAACATATGGGTGAATTTTTGTTAAAACGCCACAAGCGAAATGAGCTGTTCTTCAGATCCAAACTTGTACCCACTTCTTCCCTCTTCTCTCGAACATCTAAAAATGGTATGCTAGGAAATTAAAATACTCCGAAACAAATACTGGTACTTTTGCTTTTGGCGAGTTGATTTTCAGTGCTCAACCACAGATTAATCCTTCAAAAACCCACAAACCCAATCAACATTCAAGAGGTACATGTCAATTATTATGCACCCTCACAGTGTGTGCGTGTGGGAAAGGAAAATATGAAGAGAAGATTTGGAAGGGCAAAATGGTAGAGTCCAGTGTCTTTACATTTCTGTCATTTTATCTTTTTCATTGCTCTTCTTTCACATCACAACAGCTAAACACCAATAACCCAACAAAAACCCACCCCAGAGAGAAGAAAATGGTAACACTACAGAAGATTCAATACGGGTATCATCAGTGTGTGAAAATGCGTGAGAGCGAAATGCAATGAGCTTTCAAGTTCAACAACCCCAACAACTCAATCCAAACTGATGTAATTCAATTATAGGTACATCAACCAACTGTGTGTGAGTGTGTGTTAATGACACTTAAATTTGTAACAGTGACATGTAATGTTTATAGGAAAAACACTACTTATATACGAATTTCACTCACAAATCTGTGCAGCAGGTCGAAAAATGAATTTACTGTCTTTCAGTCGCCGTCGAGCTTTTTTCCTTCTCGTTAATGCCCTTGCTTCTGAATATAACTACAGTTTTACCCTTGTGTAATTATCTTATCTTTTCTTAAACATGCTGCATGTAGATTATTTTTTATATCATATAACCTCGTACTTTCATGTGGCATCTATTTTAGCCTTTGATTTTTCCGATGCTCCTTCACATTACTAGCCAGATTTTGACACGTAATAGGGAATATCATCCTTTAACATAAACGACAGTGTACATTTACAATAACTCTATCTTATTAGCACTAGCAATATCTTTTTAAATCAAAAGAGATTATGATAAGGGAGATACTGTGTGTACAGAACAAAATTTCACAAAAATTGTACAAATAATTCATAGAAGGAGTGGGTGAATTTTTTGACAATTTTTTATCACAACCGCAACGTGAGGGCCACTACATATGAGATTCTGACGGCATTCCGTGAGAATTTATTTTGTACAAATGGATTTTTCCTTTTGATAAATATGTGTTTGTGTTTCTCCTAATTGGAAAATATTTTATATTCAACTATTTAATTGGTTATTATTTGAAATGCTGTCTTAGAGGAAATTAAATAATATAAATTATAAAACAATTTATTTTTCTTTTTATCAAAAGTGTTCAGCCACTGTTTGATATCCGTTTTTCCCAAAATTCATTTTTCTTTCTTTTCTTTTCAATCACACATTTTTTAATAAAATAATATTACACGCAAAATTAAAACTTTTTCTTATTTCTTAACCACACATTTTTTTCTCAATACAAAAGTAAAATAAAAACAAAAATAATAAATTAAATTCAAAATATAAAAAATAAAAATCAATAACGTGGACTCAAATATTTTTAACTGTGTTCATTAATTTATTTATTTATAGTTTTTTTATGTAAAGTTTGAATTATTTTTATTTTTATTTTTCAAGAAATTTTTATAATTTTATTTTTTTTCGAAATTTTTAGTTTTTTAAATTTAAAATTGTCATTTTTAAAAATTTATTTAAACTCTTACTTTTCATGGGTGTTTTTAAAATTTTCTTTCAAAATATTCAAAACATAAAAAAATGCGTTTTGAGTTTTCTGTTATAAATTTAATCTTTTTTTTAAAATGTATTTTCAAAAATATCATATCAAACATGTTTTCAACATTTTGCAAAACTGAAAACAACAAACCAAACGCGTCCTAATGTTTTGATTAGTGTAATTTAATCCACGACACATGAAGAATTGGATGTAATCCAAACTCTTATTTGTTGATGATTTTACTTTTGTTTGATGTGAAATTTATCTTTTAATAGACAACTTGAAATTTGTGTGTTTAATCAGATTTAATTGCTCCTTTAAACTTAATAGGCTACAATATTAAAAATTGAGCATACATCTTAAAAGCTCATTCTTGTCAATAGTATAGATTATTATATATTGATTAGTTACTCTAGCGTAATTCTACGTGGAATTTACCCTTCATGCAACAAGGATCATGTTATAAATGAAATTATTTGTTCATTTTGGTTATTTATACTGAAAATGTAGTACAATATTCTATATAATAAATAAATAAATAAAAACAGAAGTAAAAGAAGTATGAATGAAATAAAGAGGTTTTTGAATGAAATAAAGAGGTTTTTCTCTTTGAGCGAAGATTAGAGACGTGAAAAGAGAGAAATTTTGAGTTCTTAAGTTATTGTTCGAGCTCTCTTTTAATGAGTTTTTGAGAAGAATGTATTTTGAAGTAATGATTATGTGGATTCGTATGGTTAAAAAAGAAGAAATTATTTATTTATTTATTTGTAATATTATTTTATTAAAGAGTGTATGGTTAAAATGAAGAAAGAAAAAAATACATTAAAATAAAATGAAGCTCAAATAGGAGCTAAATTTCAGCACGTTAATAAAGTCCATATTGGGCTCTAAAGAATGTCTCCCAAGTTCATTTTTAGTTTGTATTTAGCACAATGTTTTTCGGTACTCGATTTTTCAAAGGCATGGCAGGAGCCGGGTCGGGGAGGAAATTAAAAGATATTCATTGATAGCTCATCTTAATTATTTATTTATTTTTAATTATGACTCAAGTTGAAATGGAAAAACTTTTTGTAGGTACGAGAAATTCCTTGTTCCCTATCCTCTTTTCGCCCTTGCCTCGCTTACCATCCGGCTTTCGAGGTAGGTTGGTGGTGGAAGAAAATTTTGTTATCCATATCTCATCATGCTAGCGACAAGGACGAGATTAATTTAACATTTTATTCTACACTTTGATATGTTGTTCCTTCTTTTTTTCTCATATATGTGACAAAATTATGGTTAATTTTTGTCATTTTTATAAGTAGTTTTGAATAAGGAATTTGTCCCTTTAGTATTGAGAGCCCCCACCAAGACAACTTTTGCATTAATAATCTCTTATGGTTAATTTTTGTCATTTTTATAAGTAGTTTTGAATAAGGAATTTGTCCCTTTAGTATTGAGAGCCCCCACCAAGACAACTTTTGCATTAATAATCTCTTTTGTTTTAATGAATCAGAAAGGATAACTCCCAGTGTTTGTAATCATGACTTTCGGAAATGTTCTTAAAAGTTTTATGAAATTTAAGTGAAAAAAGACAATCATTTTGAAATAAAGACAACTCCAACTTCTAAAGCAATAGCAGTTTATTTTATTTTTTTTCAAATTTTGGAGGGAGTTTGAAACAAATGTTCGCTTCACATCACATGTGAACATTCAGTTCTATGTATATATGTCACCTTTAATTACTTTTGTAGGTAAGTAGATTATTAGGGTTAAAATTGCTTTATATCGTTGCAATTAGAATATCATTTTATTGTTGTAATTAGAAATACATAAAATAAATTATTTAGTCATTCTTGATAATTGAAATATCGTAGTTCGACCCAATCAACACCTAGAGGGGGGTGAATATGTGTTTAGGCAGAATTTTTTTTTTCAATCAATTAATAATTGCAACACGTCACAAAAATTAATTTGTTTAGATCAGTTCGCATGCTTTACTATCCTAAATTTGAATACCGGTCATAAATTAATTGCAGAAAGATAAATAACACAATTGTTTGATGACGGAGAAACTCCAATGTAGGTAAAACTCCGGGTCCAAACTAGTAGGAATCCACTATAAACGTAAATGAAACTTACAATTAGCCAGACTCAACCTACACTGGTTTTTCTGACATCTTGACCATAGTTTCCTCAAGACCTTCCTGGAATGCGTGATCCTGCACCAACTCCCGGCACCTAGCCCTCCTAGATTGCGTGCTACACCAATTCCCGAGTCTTGATTTTGTCTATCTCCTGTGGATTCAAGGAACCGCATGTTCTCTAATGATCAGGACTTCGATCTCCTTCCTCGATCTCCAAAAATCAACAAAGGCACTAGAAGATTGTGTTGTGGTGTTTGGTGAATGTTGATTTGATATTTTTCATGTAATTGATCGAATCAAATATGGGGTTGAATAAGAAAGTTAAAGTGTAGGAGAGTTTTCTTCAATTTCAATATCTTGAGAGCACATCACAAAATCGGCGCAATTTTTCTCATGTATGTGTATTTTGATATTTCTGGTCGGGTTAAAATGTCAAAAAAAGGAAAATATGATTTTATGGGTAACACTGTCGCTCGAGCGAAAAGCGAGCGACGCTGTTTTGCTCAAGCAAAGTGGGGGCGAGAAGCGAGCGACGATCATTCTATTTTTATCGCTCGAGCGACCACTTGGCAAGCAACTAGCGAAACTTCGACGACATATCTTGCCTTACTTCATAACTCAAACCCTAGCACATTTTGCCAAAATTGTAACCGAGTCCCTCATCTTTTACACACGTACACAATAACCCCTAACCTTTAATAATTAACAAATTTACCCTAAACTTTTGAGCATTTACAATTTTACCCTTTTGTTCACGGAATAGCCAACACAAAATCTAACAATAATAATTAAGGAAAACCATGTATTTCAGTATTATTGTTAAGAGCTTGTTTGGTGCAACTTAAAGTCAATTAAAATTAATTTTTTGACCGTTATTTCACTATTCCAGTCGTCATTTTTGAATTCTTCTCTCACAAATAGGACTCACGTTATCTCTAACGGTCAAAAAATCAAATATCAAAATTTCTACCAAACAAGCACTAAGTTAGGGTCAAGTTGGTAATTTAGGATCAAAATCAATATTTTATATCTTTTTAAATAAAAAATAATAATATATATTAAATTATTTTATTTTTCTACTTGAAATAATATAGATGATTTTATTATGATGTTCCTTTTTATATGTCTATAGTTCTATGTTGTTCTTTTTGATAATATCAATTGGTTAGCAGTCAAATCCAAAGCATCCAAAAGTAGTGATGGTAGCAGGACGGGGTACCTCGTACCGCCCAAAGGCGGGGTAACAGCTTGCCCCGTTAGTTGTCCCATTTATTTTTTTACTTTTTATTATTTTTCTTTTTCTTTTCATGAGGTGAGTTCGAGGCCGGGCATCCACATCCCGTCCTGCCAACCCGTCGAAGCGGAGCAAGGATTTTTGCCATCACTATTCAAAAGTTGTCTTTAAACATTTTTCCTTTGCATATTAGCAAGTAAATGCTGTGCAACATTTTTAAAGTTGTATCTTAAAATAAGTCAACGTGGAAGAGTAATTCATTGCATATCTATCGAGTTTGACATGAAGTAATTGAATTTGCCTGACCAACGAAGTGAGAGTCTATCCATGTATCTCCTTCTCGAATCACATCACTACGATTAGTCTAAGCAAACAAGTATTGTTTTTCTTTTCAATTCAATGATAATTTTGATTAGATCCTTTTTACTATCAACATTAGTTTGGTTGTCACCGTTCCTTGTTAACGTCGGGATATACATGAAAATGGCCCAAATAGTATATAACCTTTTCCAAAATGACCTTTGACTTTTTTAGAAA